CTTCAATCAGTGATGAATAGTAAGATGTTCTGGCTTTGTGGAGGGCTTTCTTATAAAGCAGCAAACTATTTCTCCAGGCTAAATGATCATCTTGTAATTTTTCTGTTGAAGTAAATATAACCGGGTTAAAATTTTCCTGTAACACTAATGATTTTAACTAAGCTAACACAAGACGAAGGCTAAGTTCATTTATATAGCACATTTAAAACAACAGAGTTGACCAAATTGCTGTACATTCAGACTGTGTCACTGCACAGTCTGAAGAGGATGGAGGAGATTCCAGGAGACAAGCAGTTAATCTAGTGAAGCGGCACAGGGCCTCCTTGCACAAGCTGTTCCCTCGTGCAAGGAGGAACGGGATGATAGCACCGCCAGAGGCCTTAGAAACGAGCTCCAGCAGACCACTGGCGTGAAAATCTTTGACCCAACTGAACTGTCTGTCTGAACTGGAGCTTTGTGATTCTGTTCCCCACTGTTGCTTCTTGGTCTCATTTCCCATTCATATTGAAAGATCCCACAGTCGGTTTGAATACATGACAGACAGCCAACTCCTGACTTTGTAGTTACTAATATTTGCTTGATCTGTTATTGATTACCTGCAGGTTCTGAAGGAGGATGAGTATGACTTGTGGCTGAAAGCACACATGCTGGCAGAGAGCAGCATAGAGAACAGAGAGGAGCTTCTTCTGGAGTCAGCTCAGAGGCTTGAGACCAACCTCACTCTGTTGGGTAGTCACTGCAGCTCAGACTTAAATCATTCGATATCAGAGATGAAATACCAGCACTTAAAGCGTATGCGTGTGTTTTCAGGTACCACAGGGATTGTAGACAGACTCCAGGAGGAGGTTCCAGAGACCATTGCTGCTCTTCAGAGGGCTGGTATTAAAGTTTGGGTTCTCACTGGAGACAAACAGGAAACAGCCATCAACATCGCTTATGCCTGCAAACTTCTATGTGCCAGTGACAAACTGCTGACAGCTAACTGTGGAAGCAAGGTCAGTGAGTGAAAGAATCTTTGTTATTTTACTGTAGAGCATGTGCAAAAGGGTGTACGGTCTTCTTCACACACTGTGCCCTCTGCATTAGATGGAGGAGTTGTACAGGGAGATGGGTGCGTTTGGCTCATCTCAGTCTCTCACTAAACATGCTCCTGTGACTACCCAGCAGTCACACCATGACACCCCAGGTATGACGGATGGAGTGTTGAGTGCGAGAGAAACTGACCTGAAAGATAGGATCATGGTAAAGCTGGACCCTCCGTAGTGGGTTACATAGAATATGTTAAGTGCCCTCTGAAGGTCTACTAGAAGATGTAAATGCACCATAATGGAGAGTCCGTACTGCAACCATCACCAAAAAGAACCAGCTGATCTACACCACAGCAGCAGTGATCACGGAGATGCTTGGCTATATGATGAACAGCCCAAAGGAGCAGCGCAGTTCATGGAGAAGGAGTCGAGAGGCCAAGATCAAGGTAGCACGGAGGGAAGTTGAAAGTAGAAAGTTGAAGAAAGAGGTACCTAAGAGCTGCCCGTGCCTTGGAAACTCCCAAACAAAGACTTACAGCCTTGGCCAGCCACTTGAAGAAGCATACCACAGAGAAAGAAGGCAGGAGCGTAAACCAGCTGTACTGTAGTGATAGCTGTAGCTATACCAAGTGACAGCAACATCAGGAAGAAGGAAAACCAGAAGCTGGAGAAGTGCCACGGGCTGAGAGAAGAGCTCGAGAAGATGTTGAGGGTGAAGGTGACGGTGGTCCCCGTGGTAATCAGAGTACTCAGTGCGGTGACTCCCAAGCTAGGCGAGTGGCTCCAGCAGATCCCGGGAACAACATCGGAGATCTCTGTCCAGAAGAGCGCAGTCCTGGGAACAGCTAAGATACTGCGCAGGACCCTCAAGCTCCCAGGCCTCTGGTAGAGGACCCGAGCTTGAAGGATAGACCACCCACAGGGCTAGAGGGAAACTTTTTATATGATTATTTTATTATTTTTATATATTTCAGTCATGAAACCCTCAAAAACCTTTCTTATAAATCCTGTCTACACTCTTATAAATGCTTATTAAAAACTCATTTGTTCGTGTACACAGTGAATCAACTGTGTGTGAGATGAATGTAGTGTACAGCAAAGAAGAGCATTAGAGCATGTCCTCTTTCTTTTTGTTGGTGAGGAACATAGTGATGGGTTGTTTCTTCTGGACAAGGTTTCTATAGACATTTGTAGACTCATCCATCGACCAGTACTTTTACCAGTGCTAATGAACGTGTTCTATTTTTATTTATATTGTTATTCATTGTTTTAGAAAAGAAAATGCTTCTTTTACTGCATAAAATAATAAAAATCTAAACAAATACAAGTACCAATACGCAGCAGAAGCCGCTTTCTGCAACTCGGATAGTTAGCCAATCATTGGAGCTGCTGAAAGATTCGAATTACAGCAAGCTGTCCATGCCTGAGGGCTTGCTTAGTGATAGGTTTGTAGCATAAACCTATTCGCTGGAACGTTCAAGACAATTTACTACACAGCAAAAGCAAGACACGTGCAGCCTCAGGAGTAGGAGTGGGTTTAAGAACATCAATTTCCAGATTCAAATTGATTTTATATTGAATAAAGCGATATCGATTCATTAAATCCTGACATCGATTTTTAAATATAAATGTATTTTGCCAGAAACACCAGAATCTCAGCTTAAAGCTCACAAAACTATTTCAACAACCGCCAAACAGCTAAAAGAGCAAAAGAGCAGGTAAACGAATTCACAGTGAATTTCAACTTTTACATATTATGCCAAATTACAAAACGCTTAGCTGTGTCTCTAACAAAACCTCTGTAACGATGCTCTGCTTCACTTCACTGGGGGTTATCTACTATAAAAATCCAGCCCAGGAAAATCTCCTTCATATTTTTCTGTGTTTTATCTTCACTTTGTTTGACATAAATGTGCTGTGATGCTTGCACCTCTGGTGAAGTCTCACAAGACTGAGATGCTCTAGCGTGACCTTAAAAAGGCGGTTCATGCTCAGAAACCCTCCAGTGTCACTGAATTGCAACAATTCTGCAAAGACAAGTGGGCCCAAATTCCTCCACAGTGCTGTAAAAGACTCGTGGCCAGTTATCGTAAGTGCTTGATTGTAGTTGTTGCTGCTAAGGGTGGCCCAACCAGTTATTAGGTTTAGGGGGCATTCACTTTTTCACACAGAGCCATGTAGGTTTGGATTTTCCCCCTTATTAAAAAAACACCAACAATCAATCAAATCCAATAAAACACTGGGCAGGAGAAGCCATGTCTGAACTCACTCGCAGCAAGCAGCCCACCAATTTCATGAACGAAACAGTTGCTATATAACAGCTCCGCTCCGCTCAGGCACATAACGGTCCTTTCTTTTCTTTCAGGATGCTTGTGCAGCTTTATTTGAGGATCTCATACTGGAAGTCCAGGGTGGTGAGAGTTTGACTGCCCTTACTGGAAATGGGGAATCCATGTCCAGCAGCTTCATTCTGGTCATAGATGGCCGGACGCTGGGTTGGGCCTTGGAGGACGAATTGAGGAGCAACTTCCTGGAGCTGAGCCGGCGATGCAAGGCAGTGATCTGCTGCCGTTCCACTCCACTGCAGAAAAGCCAAGTGGTCCAGCTGATCCGGGACCATCTTGGTGTCATGACCCTGGCTGTGGGTAAGAACTCAGCCAACAGAAAAGCAGCTTGGAGCTGATTGTTTATTATTCCATAAAGACATTTCATAACCCTTTGTCTGTTAAACATTTGAAATACAGATGATCTGTCATTGCATGAGTACTGTCAGCTTTATTTATCACATCACTGCTTGAAATAATTTGACACGAACTAGTGGAAAACAATGCTGCTGTTTCAGGTGATGGAGCCAATGACGTAAGCATGATTCAGGTGGCTGATGTGGGCATTGGGATATCTGGACAGGAGGGAATGCAGGTATTAACAAAGAAAAAAATGACAATAATACTAGTAATAACAAAAAATACTGTCAAACCGAGGTCTTTACAGAATACTATGAAGCTACTGTTTGTTAGTATCGGTTTAGTTCAGCCTCCCATCCAAGACCATGACAGAGAACTCTTTGAGAGCTTTCTGTGGTTATATTAGACTCAGTGTGATATTGCATTCGCCCGTATCATCTGGTTTCACTCACCAGCAGGCGCTAAATGAGGCTAACGCTTGCGTTTTTTCTTCTTCTTCTTTTCATTATTTTGCTCTGTGGTCATTTTTTGTTGTTTTAAATCTTTCTCCAGGCTGTGATGTCCAGTGACTTTGCTATTTCACGGTTTAAACACCTCAGCAAGCTGCTGCTGGTTCACGGCCACTGGTGTTACTCTCGTCTTGCAAACATGATACAATACTTCATCTACAAGAATGTGGTAAGAGTCTTTTTGACAGCTTTATAAAAAAGGTTATAAACGGCTTGACTGACATTTCGCATTAAGGCGGGTGTTGAACTCACAGCAGTTACACTGTCATCCCTAAACTCACCTGCTCACAAGAAAACAACAGCAAATCATTGTTTTAGTCTTACAGCAGTTTTGTCTCTGTCATGTTGCTGCATCCAAATATTTGTTTCCGGTTTATTCTGCCTATTAAACTAACGACTACATTTAATAAGACTTAATATGACTTTGGAGGGTTCCTGTTGTGGGACAGGTCTTCTCCCCGGCCACTGAGTCCAGCTCTCCCAGCATGTCTCAAATCTGTCCTCACACAGGTTTGAGGCACCCAGCAGCCTTCCTACTCTAGCTTGCAATGATGCAGAGGACTTGTTGATATTGAGCTTTGCCTGTGCAGAGATTAGTAATGACACCTTAACGTAAGAAGGTTCCTGATTAGAAAGACAGCTGGGGGCCTTTTATATGTGGACTTTGCATGTTTTCCTTACGTGTGAGCCAAAAGGACACATTATTAGCTTAAATCAAACATACGATCAATGAACAGTCATTGATCATCGTATCACTGAAAGGATAAAGAGCTGGTGCAGTGATTTACGACCACGACAAAGCCGTGGTTCTCTGTCAGCATGGAGCATGGTTGTTCACTGAGCTCCTTCCCTCCTCGCACCAAAGCTGCTCATGTTCTGCCTGAAACTAAAGAATCTCCCAGAAATGGCACTTATTCGTTACAAAACACAGAAAATTTTAGAGCAATTCGTTGTTCACACAAGGATAAAAAAAGTAATAAGTAAGGAAATTCCTCACTGCTGACTGTGTGTTTCTTACCTGCAGATGTATGTGAATCTGCTGTTCTGGTATCAGTTCTTCTGTGGTTTTTCTGGGAGTGTCATGACCAACTCCTGGGTGCTCATCCTCTTCAATCTAATCTTCACATCAGCTCCTCCGCTCATTTACGGCATTCTCAACCAAGATTTACCTGCTGACACTCTGATGGAGCTGCCCGAGCTCTACCAGGATGCACAAACTTCCAAGGTCACTGCAAACATGCCACAGAAACACACACAAACTCTACAAAAGGCAGTTGCTGTTTAAGGATTTCATTTGTTTTTTCATTTTTGTCAAACATTTTCTAGAGTATGGTCATTGCTCCTAACAAATGTATTTTCTGAAACAGAGCAGCTTATGAACACAAAACCTTAGCGAACACAGTTAGCATCATGAAGTCTCAGCAGGTTTGCATCACGTCGATGAAAAAAGAAAACTGCTGAAATTATGAAAAGTTTATTGATCGCTACCTTTATTTGGCTTTCAAAGTATTTTAAATCACTGAATGTAAACTGGTTCTGCACTTGCTATGATGACACTCTAATACCTACTAATGTAGGCTTCACACTAACCGGGCTGCTAACTCATAATGTGCATACACATGATCACAACAGTCCTGTATAACAGGAAAACACATAAATTCACTTTAATTAATATGTCAACAGCTACATTTCTGCCATCATTTTATTATTTGCACAGAAAGAGGAAACAGAAGATGGAAAATAGGGCACTATCATAGCCATACATGTGTACATTACATATAGTAGAAAAATCACAATGCACAAAAAGAAATGCATACCGACACCACCTGCTGGTTCATATGATCATGTCCCAACATATTTCTGTTGGTCCTTTTATCTGTGTGCTACCGCTGACCTCTGGCCTAGCTCATTACCTCAGTATCGTTAAGCATGGGTCGTTTGTTTTTCATTGAAGTGTCGTGGCCTGTGTTAGCCAAACAAGTATTGCATGTGTGACATCGGTAACACTCATATTTGTTTAGAAAGTGTAACAGATGATTGTGATGTCTTCACAGACGTTTGTTCCATACATGTTCTGGATCACGGTCCTGGATGCTTTTTACCAAAGCCTCGTTTGCTTTTTTGTGCCTTACTTTGTAAGTACACCATGCAAATGGTTACTTATCACATTCCTTCTATTTACATGCACGTCGGTCTGTCTGTCTTCTCCTCATGTTGTAAGATTTTCATGTGAGAGTGTTTTAGGGGACTTTTTTCTGTTTTCACAGGCATACGCAGGATCAGATGTTGGGGTGCTGTCCTTTGGCTCACCGATCAACGCATCAGCACTTTTCATTATTCTGCTGCACCAAGTGATCGAGAGCAACACGCTGGTCAGACTCACCACCACCACTCAAAATCATTTATACTTCAGCTGGGCTGTGTCTCAGCTACTTTGCCTTTACAGTAACAAGTGTGTAGCTTAAAGGTTATGTGTGTTATATTAGCGGGTACAGCAGGGGTCTCAAACTCACGGCACAGGTCACCACTACTTGTTGACCTGAAGAAATCTAATGCAGTTTGTCCCTTGAAGATTTGTTTGCTGTTGTGTGCAATCTTAAAATAAATTCTCTAAATGATTTAATATTTGTACGACTTGAACACTAAAGTGGCCCTCACATGAGATGACAGTGGCAGCAGTTTGAGACCTTTGGTGTAGAGCGTGAGGAAAAATGTAATCCAAGTCAGAACTGAAAATGGAAAGATTCAGGAGCAGCTCTCTCTCTTTAGTTGTGCTCTGGAGTTTTGAATCTTTTTCTTTTTTGCAGACATGGATTCATACGGTCGTGTTGGTGCTCAGCTGCACTTCCTATTTTGGTTTTGTACTGCTCCTCAGTGGCTTCTGTGTGACCTGCAGCCCCCCTGTCAACCCTCTGGGGATTGAGTTACTCCAAATGTCCCACTCTCTTTTCTACATCACATGTGTTCTCACTACTGTGGCAGCTCTGTTACCCAGGTACGCGCACACACACACACACACTGCAAAAACTCATGTACAGGTAGTGTATTTCCTTTGGGGGCACTTCATAACTCATTAATAATAAAGAGCTTTACTCTAATGACACCTGGAGGTGCCAATGTCATCATCACCGACACAGCTATACACTGAATTTGTTTTGTCACTCCAGTGGTTTCCATATTTCAATTAAACAATGTGTCAGAGTGGACTCAAACGCAGGACTCGCAGGCTGGTTGAGGATGTTTATTGTGAAGGCAGGATGAGCAGGACATGAGACGACTGGCTGACTGAATGCACACAGACAGAGGCGAACACAAGAAAACCGGACGCACGTGGAAAATAAACAGAGACAAAGTACAAACTGAAAACACTGAGTCACCAGCCCAGGAAACCTGACATCACTTTCATTGCTAAAACATTACCCAGATATCCAGGATCGTTTTTAAATACAAATATTTTAATTTGTTTATAACCAGACATATACTTCAGGTAAAATAGTGCTGGTTACCATGGTTTCCAGGGGTCTTTTGGAGTCTCCAATTTTCTATTTTTGGAAACACTAATTTTAATTGGACCAATCAAAATTAATACATAATTAAAATATTGCAGTATTTTTAAAGAAACATATATAATAAGCTGTAGGCAACAGCACTTTAAGGGATCCTGTTAGGAAAAGGTTTAAATATTAACCTTTAATTATATGGTTTTAAAACTGAAATCATACAATTCCATGTATTATATATATGTGTAAATAGTAAACACCCCGACACACAGAACTACAGTTGTAAACAAAAAAAGATTCTCACAGGCAGTCCGACAGCTAGATGCAGTTCACCTTTTAATATTAAAGTTCATTACAGTGAAATTAGGCAAAGACTGAAATAGGGCTACAACAATTCATTGAGTAATAAAATCACAAAAAATTCTTTGCTACAATGTTTCGTTTCACACGAGGCCCTGTAGTGTGTCGACGTGTTAAACGACACGACCGCGAGTGCTTTACCCGCATTTGCTGCTAAAAACAGACCTGCACTATAACGTTTTGACAACATGAAGCCCACACAGCCTTCAGTTTGAAACAGAAACGCTGCTAGCAGCCGCAGTGATGATGACTCTGGGACAGTTTAACATGGAGCCGGTGTTCTGAGAAACCATCCTACTCTGGCAAAACGTCCTATAATTATAATTTGACGGTGACCTGCGACTAACCATAACCTTAAGAAGTATTCCGGATGTGTGAGAGAAAAAGAAGTTAATTCGGCGTTGGTGTTGTGCGCATGCTCCGCGTCTGTGCAGAAACATTGGGTAGGATGTTTTTCCTGGTAGGATGGATTCCCAGAATCCATCTGTTTACTGCGGAGCCCCTCTGATGACATGGTCCAAAAAATAAATATATTGAGGCCACAAAATACTATTTCAAGGGCACCAAATAGGTATAACGTGCGCACGAAATGCTAATTTGTGCCCATGAAACACTTGACCGATAACCGTGATCCTTTCCAGGCCCTTGCAGTTGGTTGACAATAAAATCTATCCCGGCGTCCAGGTCCTACTTACGTCTGTAAAGCAACTGGGCTCTCGATGTCCTGTTTAAATGTCTCTCCGTAATAATGGTTCCTTGCATTGCAGGCTTTTCAGAATGCATTTGTAG